AAATAAATAAATAAATAAAATAATGCATCTACCTATGATAAACAAGTTGCCCCGCTTATTAATGCAACTTAGAATACTAATGCATCTTCCTTCAGAGGAACAACTCGTCCCACTTTATAATGCACAATTTTCTACATGCTCATCAAGTGCTAATTTTTGCTATATATTATCCAAAAATAAATAAATAAATAAATAAATAAAAGGGCTAGTTTACTAAAATAGTCAGTCATGATAAAATTCTGATTATTTGCTCTAAGAAAAATATTTTAGAGTTACTCTACCTAACAAAACCCTCGTTTTTTATCCTGCAGGAGGGGAAAATCCCAGCGTCACCTTCGGTTCCTCATGGTGTTTTTGTGATATTTTCAAATAAAGTTTGTATATCTATGAGAAGAAAGTAAATAAATACGAATAGAGAACATTTCACTACTTCAGTTTTTTTTTTCCTGGTAATTTAAGTAGCACTTAACTCTCTTTAACCGCTAGATATCCCTTTGTCAGACAACTTAATTATTGTGTGCTTTAGATACGAAGAAGTGGAGGAAATTGAAGTAGATTGAAAGAGAGAAAATTAAAAAGAAGAAGATGTGATGGAACTATAGACAACTAGAGAAATAGAGGGTGCACTATAATTTATGTTTATTAACTACATGACAGATATAAATTAAGTCTTAAGATAATCTCATAATTTAAAAAAAATAAAACTTAAAACTCAAACTCTTTCCTCAGTATCTGTCCATTTTAAGAGGATTAAGAAAGTATAGAAATTTACCTTTTGAGTCCTCTTCTTCATTCTCCAATTAATTAAAACTTATAAATATATAAACACACTTTCAGATGAGTAAGAATTGAAATCGTCCTGTTGTCTAGATTTCTGTAGCATTCATATTATTGTCTAACTAAAATGAAAACGCCAGATATCTAATCCGACCAACATGACTTCTTCCCACTTAAATATACGTATTCGTATACAGCTACTCTACAAAATACATACGAACATAGTATCGCTTACGTCTGCATTTAGCAACTCTAACCTACTTGCAAAATACAAGATGAGTCAAAGCGTTATCCGGCTCCTCGTAAACTCTAATTGCATGGCAAATGTAAACTAATGCAGCTGCTTTTGTTGTAAATGTCGTTGTGTACAATTTTGGTGCAGTTGTTTAGTTCAATTTTAAAATTTTACAATTTGTGATTTTTAATATATTTACGGGTGTTTGTTTTGAGGTATCGTTTTTTTTTTTTTTTGAATTCTAACAGGAGTTGTAACTTTTGGGCATGGCATAGAGAAATTGTCAATGTTTAATGTTCTCAAATACTGTAATATTAGCAAATATCCTCGAAAGCAAATGATGGAAAAATATGACTTGGTGGCTGTCAGAGATGCAATATCGCATTGAAAATATTCATCACCTACAGTTGTGCCTGAAACTATCCACATCCAACGTTCAAGTTGGAGCCTTGCCCAAGAAGGAAAAACTCGCCACAAATCCTCGTCAAAAAAATCTTTTCCACCGTGAAGTGCGGACTCTTGAGTGCGGAGAATGGGTAAACAGAGACTAGAGGTCTACATCATTCCCTTAGTAGGGTTAGTTACTTGCCGATAGACTATTACTTCCGTTGTTTTATCACTGCACAAAATGCTCACTTGACAACAAATAATACCAAACACAACTAACGCTTTTGTTCAACATCAAAAACGAACGAACGAGAAGTAGAAATTAGCTACCAACAAATCCAAGAATCAGCCACAAGCTAGCCTTAAACCACCACACGCCTTGATTTATTCCGGCACTTGTCCCCCCCTTCACAGCATCCCCACTTACCCCAGCCCACCAAAATCCAGAGGGACGCTGAAACCATTGATGACAACAGTCCACTTACAGCTTAGGTGGTACTACCCCTCGGCTTGAACCAGAATCATAGCACAGCAAACGGAAACCAATTCTATAGAAATCGTATAGGGAGATCGATAGACGATTAAGACACTTGATCTAGCACGAACCTTGATGAAGATATTAGTTCCACCGCTGGCGATCGCATTGATAGATAATAGTCACTACGTTGATAGCTGATAGCTATGAATGCATTAGTGTTGGTCCACCTCATGTGTTCACGTGGGCCAGCAAGAAAATAAAAAGGTGGAGATCACATGGGACAACAATCAAAGAACGAAAGATTGGGTGGGCATTTTTGCTCTGTCAAAAGTTGCGGCTTGTCTCGTTTCTTTCTCTTTGTCAAACACGGGGGTCGGCAAGTAAGTAGAAGGACGATAGGAAAACAAAGAAGACCAGCAAAGGGACCCACGCACTTTTGACAAATTGGAAGATGTTGAACGAAATTCATGGTGAATTTCGAGGAGAGAGGAGGTCGATTTCTTCTATAAATAGAAGACGCTTCGTTCATTTTTCAATCATCCGAAAAACAAGAAACAACAAAGTGAGAGTCTCAGAGAGTTTATCTGAGAGAAAAATAGAGAGCCAATTTGTAAAGTTCTATCCACAAATTGAAATTGTGTTGTTAGCCAATTTTGTGAGAGATCCACCTAAGAGTGAAGTGTGTAACCCCATTATTATTATAGTGGAAGTTTTTAAGTGGCCTACGGGTCCCGTGGTTTTTACCTCTTTTTTGAAGGGTTTTCCACGCTAAAAATCTTTGGTGTTATTTTTGTCTCATTTAGTGGGGAAATTATCCTGGGATTTGTCAATCTTTCCCAACAATTAGGTTCGTTGTCTTCACCTCATATCCGCCTATATGTTAGACGAAGACACTTCGCCTTAACGGAATCTTGATGCATATATCACTATTAACTACCGGTGCAGCAGTGAGTGCATATTGTAATGGTAGCAGCTGCACCGATAGAAAATACTGGATAAGCCGATAGCTTGTAGCATATCAAGGATTAAGTACTAGGTCCGGTGTCTTCACCCCCCTCTCTGTCCCCTATATGATCTCCAATAGAAAGGCCCCGTATAGGAACTCTTTTTCCAGAACAAGTGCCATAAAACCTTCACAGCAAGCCATCCAACATTTGAAACATAAGAAATGGGTTGCGAAGCTCAACGGGAAAGAGAGAAGAGAGAAGAAAGGTACCTGAGCTTTTCAGCGAGGCTGCCTGCCGATGTTTCTGGAGCACTCGCCACGAGCATCTGTGCCGTCAAGCTTTCGTCAGACCCTTTTAGGGACTTCAAGAACTCCATCATCGAGATGATTCGCGAGGTTGACATTCGGAGCTGGGAGGAGATGGAGGACTTGGTGTACTGTTACCTGGCTCTCAACTCAGAAGACGTCCATGGAGTTATAAGGGAAGCGTTTCTTAGCGTACGCTCTTCTTTGTAAACTATCCTCTTTCTACTTGGCTTGTAATGTCAACGTATATTTGTACCAGTCACAAGAATCAACAATTCAGAACTATGTCTTGATCTGTTGCTTATGATATTGTTTTCTGGGTTTATTAACTGGCCCCAAAATGTTCCGAACAGATCGACTTTTACAAATTATTGACTCAGAGAAAATCCTCAGTATATAAAAAAGATCTTAAAAAAAACTACATATATACAAACTACCAATGGAATGAAAAAAAATTTCCCCCGTTCTCCAGTCGGCTGTTTGAATACCCATCTTCTCTATTAAAGTCTCTTAAAGAGATGAGAACTAGGAGTCACTAGCTCTTGAGTAAAGGTAAGTCCTCTCAAAGAGAATAATGAAGATTGTTAACAATTCAAAGTAGGTTACACAAAAATACCAATTAGTTGATAGAATCTAACAAGTTTTTATACTGTAGGAATGATGAGAAGTAAAGTAGAATGGAAATTATTTATCAGTAAGAGGCTATCAATTATGTTCATCACTTACTCATCTATGGATGCAAGCTAAGAGGTTATTAATTGCTGTAAAATTTTCTGTAGCAAAGTTTGACATGAGTAAAATGATTGGCTAACAATAATTTGTAAAATATCTGCATGTTCTCGTTTGAAATCAACTTCAATTATGTGGCAATGGTTCTTAATTTTTTTTTAATTAAAAAGAAACTAACAACATTGCATCAAACCGTCGTCCCCAATCATCTTCAATGTCATGACAGTAAAGATATCGAGACATGAGGATTTCATAGACCTTTGACCACATTAAAAGTTAAAATGTAGTCGTTTTCAGCTTGGAAAGAACTTTGCTGCCCTTATTTTAGTAAAAAATCAATCGATACGATATATTCACAAAGAACATATAACTAAACATGTTAACAAAAATAATAACCGTTCTTCTACCTCCAACATCTCTGCAGGATACTCTGATCACCTTGACTCTAGAATGAAATCCTTTTGCATATACACCACAAGAAGGAAAAAGAAAGAAGGCCGGGT